CCGACCCGCGGCCCAGCAGGGCCCAACGGATAGCTGTCAGACGCGCATGCTTGTCGGGTCGGGTCGAGCCTACCTGGACCGACTCGTCTACAAAACAAAATAAAAGTAAAAAATAAAAAAAGTAACAGGTCCGAGACCGACATTGGGCCCGCGGACCGGCTCCGACCTGTCCCGACCCGCCGGTGCAAAAATAAAATGGTGAACCGAGACCGGACCGCAGGGACACACTCCCGGTTCTGAGGCCCGCACGGTTACGGGCCGGTGCTGGGGTTGGGCAGAGGCCGGTCCGGTGCCGATCCGGCTCTCGCCTACGTCTACCTATGCTGATAGGTCATTGGTCAAAAGTAATGTAACATAAAGATATCGTGCACCGCCACGCACATGATCACTTCTTACAAAGCCGCTACCAATCTTCTCTTCTCCATTTCGCCATACATCTGAAGTTCGCAATTGATTCAGGTGAGCTTCTATCTGTGATTGCTGCACAATCCCGAAACCTAAAAATCTATCTCTCTTTCATTTTTTTCATTTTTATTTCTCTTTCGATTTCTTTCCCCTGTTTCCTTTTGTTTAATTCGACAAATTAGAATGAAATAATCTGGATATTTCATTTTTTTTTTGTTTTTTTTTTTCAATTCTTGTTTTTGGGTGCATTGATAATGGTTTTGAATTTTCATTTCGTATTTATGAAAATACACTTGGGTCAGTTGGTGCAGTTTTTCTTATTGAGTGATCATCGACGATACTCAAGTCGCAAAAATTAGTGCTGGAAAATGCAGGTTAGTGTCGTTTTTCTCGTTGTTTTCAACTTTTTTTTTTCATCTGAATGCAAATATTCAGTAATTTTCTCGACAAAAGTGGATGAGTTTCTTAGAATTTGTTGTTTGTGTGAGGTACTTTGTCACCTGTATGGAGCTTATGCTTTTCTTAATTGGGTTTTACCCCTTTGCACAAGGAAGCTTCTATAGTGATTTCATGATGTCATTACCTTTAGTAATGGAAATTTCTGTTGTTAGACATGATATGGAGAAAAAGAGAAGTTTATACTCTATATTTATATCCTGAATGGAATAAAATGAAATAGTATATTGTTTATTCATCTAAGATCTAGAATAAATATCTGAAATTGAGTTATATTTTGCATAAAGTGATAAAACCTGAATCTTTAGTGGTATTTATGGTTTTAAGGTTAGGATGCATGGTAACCGAGAATGAGCAGAAGGAACATACTGCAATGAATTTAGACTTGTACGACGGGTAACAGTTTAAGAAGTGGATTCGCTGAAAATTGAATTAGAAGCAGACCTCATAGCATATTCTTTAATTTGTATTAATTATGCGGTCATGTGGTAGCTTGTGAGATTGGCTTCTGTCTGTGGAATATCTTTTGTTTAGTTTCTGTTCCTTGATATGTTCGAATCGGTCAATGTGCTTTTCAATAGACATCAAGAGCAAGACTTTTCAAGGAATACAAAGAAGTGCAGAGAGAGAAAGTAGTTGATCCTGATATTCAACTTGTTTGCGATGATACAAACATATTTAAGTGGACGGCTCTTATAAAGGTAAGTCTTTCATTTATCTCATATGATCTCCTTGAGTCATTTTAGGGAAACTACCTAATATGAAGGGTTGCCTAATGATATATACTCTGCAGGGGCCTTCAGAGACTCCTTTTGAAGGTGGTGTTTTTCAGCTTGCTTTTTCAGTTCCCGAGCAGTATCCTATGCAACCCCCTCAAGTTCGGTTCTTAACCAAAATATTTCATCCAAATGTACATTTCAAGGTAATTGGCGCTTTTCCTAATAATCTTTTGTTAGATTTCCTGATACTTACTTTTCCTTTATCTTATTCATTTTAGCAACAAACCTTGTGAAGAGCACAAATGGGACGTGAAGGTTTTTGATGTATTGAACAAGTTGTTTGTTGGATAAATAATATCATGGGAATTGTTAATGTAGAGTGCTTGATGAGAACTGAATTGAAATTTGCTCGAGGATGTGTTTGTTTGTGAACTGGTAGCTCACTTCCTAGGCATCTCACTTTTAGCTGTGGTAAATCTTTCTATGACTTTAAAATGGGTAATATGTTTTATCTGAGAATATCATAATGGGTTTTGATATTACTAAACTTGCTCTTAGTATGTCCTGTGACTTAGGGATGTTGGCTTTTATGTAGGATATTAATATATTTTAAATGGTCGCATATTTGTATGTACTTGATGAAGAAAGTTCTCTAGAACAACATCTTGTTGATTTATTTATTTATTTGAGGCTTCTGAACAACTATTGATGGCTCCTTTGTATTTCTTTCAGATTTTGTTTTCAGTAGTTCAATTATGAAACACTTCTGTTGGGATCCTGAAATAGTTCATTTGATGATATTAGTTACTGATTTTTCGATTCCATTTTATTCAGACGGGTGAGATTTGCCTAGATATCTTGAAGAATGCTTGGAGCCCGGCTTGGACCCTGCAATCGGTTTGCAGGGCTATAATTGCACTGATGGCTCATCCAGAGCCTGACAGTCCACTAAATTGTGATTCAGGTAAAGTTTAGCAGCTTCTTTTCCTAAATAAAAATTCTTCAAATTTTATGAATATTCTCACAATTGCAGGGAAAAAAATTAACTGAAAATAAAAACCAGTGGAGTCACATGTTAGTTTGTCGAATGATATTACTGTTTCCTGCATCAGGAATTTTAAACATATATGGCAACAATATGCAATTCCAATTTCACTCTGTTTCTTGCATTCATATGATTTATTTATTTATTTAATTTTTTTTTTTTTTTTTTTTTTTTTTTTGTGAAAAGAAGGAAAATAGTGCTACTTGGCGTGTTTTTGTTGAAATTGATACTTTGGTATTTTGGCCTAGGCAATCTTCTCCGATCTGGGGATATCAGAGGATACCAATCCATGGCCAGGATGTATACCAGACTAGCAGCCATGCCGAAGAAGGGGTGAAAATTTATTAGATTCTTTTGCCCAAAAAGTGTCTGAATGCAACCAGGTTGTCATATGCGCCTTGTGCTCGTGGATATGTATTATGTACTAACATATATTCCTCATTGACCAATGCAACCGGTCAGTCAATTTGTTCGAACTTTCACCCGTATGTGCCCTTACAATACAGTGGATTGATGTCTGCAATCGCTATTTGAAGTTAATTCATGTTGTGTGTGTGTGTGTGTGCACAATTTAACTGCTGAAAGCTGCATATTCAACATAAAGATTAAGAGAGATTAGCGTATTTTGCTGTTAGCTGTCGAAGTGTGTGAATCATATGCAACTTGGAAACATTCGCCTGTCTGACCATAAAAGATGTCTTGTGATGTCCAATTCCCTCTTCAGCCTCCCGCTGAAAAATAAGGAAATTAGTCAGAACTCACAAAGCGAAAACAGCATGTTTATTAGATATTTTTTATTATCGGATTTTGTGTTAATTGATATTCATGTTTACCCTAAACTACTGAAATTATGAATTTTAGATAACAAAAAAAAAAAAAAAAAAAAAAA